TGTCTCTGGTGAAGCCTCTCACCACCCCTGAGCCTGTACCCCAGTTCTGTATGCACAAATAAATAAATCTTTAAAAAAAAAATCACCTCTGGAAAGAGCAGAGCCATCTGCCACATATTGGGAATTCTTTCAAAAAGAACTGGACAGAAGATAATCCTGTTTGTTTGCTCTGGCATATAATCCTGAATGTCTCTCTTAAAAACAAAGATAGCAGAGCACCATCTTATGATACTCGAGTTTGAATATAAACTCTAGTGCCCTTACTGCCATTCGTACTATGGGATATATATTTCTCAAGCATTCTAGCTTACAAAATATCAGAAGGTTAACCCCCAGTTTTAATAAGGTATCATTTTAAAGCATGGAATTAAATCCCTAATCTTCCCTTTTTTCTAGCTGAATGAATCTGGGCAATTTTTTTTTTTAAAGATTTATTTGTGCATACAGAACTGGGGTACAGCTCAGAGGCTCAGGGGCGGCAAGAGGCTTCACCAGAGACAGAGTGGGGAGCAGAACAGGCAGATCTACGAAGTATGCTGCTGAGCAGGGGCGGGTCAGGAGAGGTCTGCCACACCATGTGGTCACCTCCAGGGCAGGCGGGAATCGAACTCATGCGGAAGCGGCTTTAGATTCTCAGTGCTGTGCTTTAACACGCTGCGCCACCAGGGAGGGCCGAATCTGGGCGAATTTTTTAAGAGTGTTTTCTTATCTGGAAAGTATCAGTAGTAAGTCATGCATATCTTTGTAAAAGGTCACTAAGTGTTGTAAAGAGTAAAGATTATGTATGCTAAGATCTTTGTATTATTTATATAAAATACTATACAATGAATATGCTGACTTCACTCATTATTTCCAAAAAGACATTAAGAAGATATGTCTTCATCAATGACTTTGAGTCCATACTGGGAAATCAGTGACAGAAATGGAAAGCCATGTCAAAACAAAACTGACTCCCTGAAAGCTTTTACACTTTCTTATAAAACTCTATATGGCTGTAAATAAGTATTGGAAGATCCAAAATCTGCTTAACAAAAATGTCATACCCTGGCTTTCTGTCGTGGCCCAAATGGGTTAAAGGGCAGCACTGTAAGCTAGCCTCAGATGCTTCAGTGCAAGTTCAATCCCCGCCCCGGAGGTGACCCACACGGCAGGGCAGACCTCTCCTGACCCGCCAACTGGTCCCCTCAGCAGTGTACTTCATCAGTCTGCCTGTTCTGCTCCCTACAGTGTCTCTGATGAATCCTCTCACCGCCCCTGCACCTCTGGCCTGTACCCCAATTCTGTATGCATAAATAAAAAAATCTAAAAAAAAAAAAGGTCACACCCATTTAATAAAAAGGATAGTGTAAAAACATCTATTTAAATTAGACAATTTCCCACTGAGTGAATACCTTATAATGTTTAGCACAGTGAAACATATAAATGAGACTGTACCCTTGCTGCTTAAGGAACTCATAGACTTGTGAACAATAATCACATAAAGTGTTACCAACAGCATCAGCACATATAAGATATAGAGAAGCAACTAATGAGCTGTAATTTCTTCAGTTGGAATTTGAAGGATGTTTCCAGCCAAAGAGGGAGAAAAGAACATTCCAGACTAAGGTGCTGAAAGGTGTGAAAACATAAAATAGCCTGGTTTATTCATAATTCTGAGTTTTAAGAACTTAAAAGTGTTAGCAAGGAAGCCATGTGAAAGGACAAGACAGAGGTATGGCCTGTCACAGAAGGCTTTCATTCTATCTTGTTGGTGAATGGTTTTAAGCAAGCGACAGAAAGTGTAGCCAAACTGCAGTGTGCAGGATGGAACAGGAGGGGAGGGCGGAGTAAAAGTGTGGAGGCAGATTATTGTGATTACTTATCAGCCAAGTAAGAGATGAAAGAATGTTATGAACAAGCCAACGAAGCCACCTGTGCTGCTCTACTCAATCCATTTGTCAAACTCATTTTAGCTCTAAAGTTTAACTGCTTTAATATAAAATGAAGTCTTCATTTCACAGCTGCAATTACAAGAGTCACTGCCTGCTATTAGTAAAATACCACAAATCACACACACTACTGGTTGATGATACCAACTGCACAATGAAATCTGAACAATTTCTGATCTCTAAAAACACTAGAATAAACACTAGTTGAGAGATCACAGACTCACTTTAAAGTGAAATAACTGCAGTCGTAAGAAACACAGCAAAAATTATCCAAAGCTGCTTCTAATCTATTTGCTCACTAGATTTAATTCTCACTCACTAAATAACCTCATTCCTCTTAAAGCTACCAAGGACGAGAAGGGACTAGAGAAGGGTCTAGCACGGAAGTCTGAATGGCCTCACCTGATTCCACTGTCTCCTCCCCTTCCGGCAGAAGCCTAGCTTTCTTAGCATTTTGTGGGGCATCATCACCATTGTCCTCATATATGTTAGACCATTTTATTGCCATGTCCAGCTCGGGAGGTGGAGGTTTCTTCTCAGTGATGTAGGTCTCCGGTGGTGGTACATAGTTTGATTTCCATATTTTGAATTCCTTGGGCGGCTGTTAAGCAAACACATTAAGAAGCACTGTGACGAACCGAGGTTCCTACAATCGGTACGGGCACATGCACCTCCCTGCCGTTCGCTTATTGTTCAGGCTGACTTTTTCGTTTAGGTTTTTAAAGACACATGTTTGCATCAAAATCACAATACTGTTACGTGAAAAGCCAAAGGGTTCCCTATACAATAAAGCTAATAACTTTTAGTTACCAAAGAAGAATCCAGTCTCAGAGATACTACGCCAAGGCTGACCCCTTCAGGAGGCTGCAGCAGACATTGTCTTGGAGGCAGCACCGCAGGCACTTCGGCGTCAAAGGGAAGGGGTCTCGGGGAGAAGCTGCAGCGGGGGGGCGGGGAGTCACCACCGTTAGTGCTCGCCGCGCGGGATCGGGGCACCGAGCGCGGAGGTTTGGGTCTCCTCACAAGGGGGCAGGGGCTTCGGGTCCGGTCTGACACCCACCAGGCTGGGGGTAGGGGGGCCCGGCTCCCCAGGGCTGGAGGTGGGAGGGGTGATTCGGCATCCCGCAGGGGGTGACTGCGTGTGGGGGGACGGGCAGCCGGTCTCCAGCAGGGGGTTCCAGAGGAAGGGGGCGGAGGCCGGGGCCAAGATCGGGAAAAGGGGTAGCGAACCTCACCTCCTCCGGGGCCTTGACGACGTGTCGCTCCCAGTCGATCTGTTTGTTGAGCGGATTATAGAGAAAGGCAGGGCGAGTCACGCTCCGGAACAGCTCGTCGGGTCCCGGCAGCCGTTTTTCCGTCTTGTTCCCACAGCCGCCCGCCGACTTCGCCGGATTCGGGGCCCCGCAACTCGTCTCCTCTGGCTCACTGTTGTCCTCCTCTCCCGAGGAGCCTGAGCTACTGCTTCCGTACGCTGCGAAATAGCTCAGGGGATCCTTTTCCTCGGCGGCCATGACGGCGGCGCGCAAAAACCAAGGGCGCTACCGGAAACCGGAAGCTGTTCCAGGGCAGGCCCCACGGTTGGCCCCGCCCCATGTCGCAGATGGGGTGGAGCCGGGCGCCCCCTCGCGGCGGCGGTGCGCTCCTGCTCCCCTACTGAGATGAAATAGGAAGCAGGAGCGCTCACATCCCCAAGCAGGGATTTCTTTAGTTTATTTCTTGGGAACCCTGAGAAGAGAGGAGGTCCTGAGCCGGTGGTTCCAACCAACCTTTTATCAGTCAATAAGGATTTTTAAAGGGCTAAAGATCTGTCTCTACTGCCTCTCCACTTTAGCCCTCTTCCAGAGAGAGTAGGATTCCATTCTGATCCCATTGCATTTACACTTCCAAATAAAAATCTCAAGTGGGCTTGCCTCCGTCCCTTGGAAAACCTCTCTGGATAGTTATAAGCTAAGCCTCTCCTCCCTGACCTCATTCCGGTGCACTCTCAACAACCTCTCTTTGATGACATCTCTTGGATAGTCTCAACCCGGCTTTACTTTGTATGACTCTTACACGTCGTTTCCCAGCTTGCCTCGCCGTTTTTCAGCAATGCTTACAACATTTTGTAGAGACCATTACACAGTTGCAAGTCAGCACACCCCTTTCCACAGATATTAACTGCTTTACTTGTGACACCCAAATCTGGGTCTCCCACCCCTTCAGCCCTTCCTCTCCCCGAACACACTCCTCCACCCCGTTCCCATATAAACATTTCTGGTTTTGTGATTCTTCTCTTATTAGATGACATAACCATTTTCCCAAGTCACCAGAGAAACTAGAAATATTTGACTCTTCCTGATGAACTAAGCAGAAATACTACCCAAATCAAAGTGATAAAATTGTTCAGTGTAAAGTAGCTACCACCTGTTTAAGGGATGTCTGCTCAATCAGATCATATACTTATTGCTTCCATTCCTGTTGGAGATGGACTTTGGGGAGCAGAGATAAGTCTGTCTTGTTCAGTCTTCTTCCTCAGTCTTGTAGCGCAGGGTCTACAAGTTCCTTGAGGTGAGGAGCTAGCCTAAGCATTGTTCATTTTTATGATTAGCTCAATGCCTGTCACAGAGTAGGCCATCAATAAATACTTTTGGATTATAATTTCTGAGGGTGTAGGTCTAGAAGTGTTTGCAAAATTTCCTATCCAAGTACCTATTTGACATAAGAAAAGGATGGTTCCAAAACGCAAAGGTTGGGAGTCACCAAAACCATCCTCATTTTTTATACAAATTGCAGATTTGGGGATTCCCCAAACCACTCTCAGGTTTGATAATTTGTACTTGATCACGTGGAGGATGTTGGTGGCTTTGATGTTGGAAGGACTTACAAAATTCACTGAAAGATGCTTAACTAGTGGTTATGGTTTATTACAGCACAAGGACAGAGATTTAAAATCCGCCAATACTAAGCAGCCCAGGAGACTCTACAGGCAGAGCTTTGGGTTGTCCTCTCAGTTTGGAGTTATAGACAGTACTGGCTTTCTGTAGCAAACACATGGGACAGTATGCCAAGTGGAGCCTAGCTGGTTAGGAAGGCTCACGCAAGCGCTGGTGTCCAGAGTTTTTGCTGGGACTTGGTCACATAGACATAGTAGATTGCTCTCATGGCTCACCTCAGTCTTCAGCCCCCCCAGAAGTCAAGCTGATAAACTGTGGCCCAAAGTCCTGCAAGCAAATTTAAAAAAAAAATACAGTTCTAGGGCCCTCCCTGGTGGCGCAACGGGTAAGGACACAGTACTGCAAGCTGGCCACTGCCTCTTCAGTGCTGGTTCCATCCCCAGCCCGGGAGGAGATCCACATGGCACGGCAGACCTCTCCTGACCCGCCCGCTGCTCCCCTCAGCAATGTACTTGGTCCATCAGCCTTTTCTGCTCCCCACTCTGTCTCTGGTGAATCCTCTCACTGCCCCTGCACCTCTGACTTGTACCCCAGTTCTGTATGCACAAATAAATAAATCTTTTTAAAAATACAGTTTAAAAAATCTTATTTAAAAATATTTATTTATTCATGCATACAAGAACTGGAGTACAGATCAGAGGTGCAGGGAAAGGGGTGAAATGATTCACCCCACAGAGAAAAGTGACAGTACTGCAAGCTGGCCACTGCCAGATTGACTGAAGTACACTGCTGAGGGGAGCAGCAGATGAGACAGGGGAGGTCTACTGTGCTATGTGGATTAGCAACCTGGCTGGGGTTGAACCCTTGCTGTGGTGGCTGTGGATTGCTTTATAGTGCTTAGACATAACCCCTAGGCCATCAGGGAGGCCCTTAAACAGTATTTTCAGGGCCTCCCTGGTGGCACAAGGGTTTAAATCACATCCTTGGCCAAGGAGCTGACCCACATACAGTGCAGCAGCCCTCTCCTGTCTCCCCAGCTGCTCCAAAAAAAAAAAAGAATGCTTCTGGGGGCCCTCCCTGGTGGCACAGTGGGTTAAAGCACAGCACTAAGAAGCTTAAGCCACTTCTGCATGAGTTCAATCCCTGCCTGCCCTGGAGGAGATCCACATGTCATGGCAGACATCTCCTGACCCGCCCACTACTCCCCTCAGCGGTGTACTTCGTTGATCTGCCTGTTCTGCTCCCCACTCTGTCCCTGAGTGAATCCTCTCATCCTCCGCATCTCTGGCCTGGTAACCCAGTTCTGTATGAATAAATAAATAAATCTTACAAAAAAAAAAAAAGAATGCTTCCACTATTGTTCTCTTGGGACCATTGAGCAACTATGTAAAGAGATACCCTGCTGGAGGTACCATAAAGATGAGGAGCTCCAAACACACCCAGTTGCTGCATTCATGCCCTATAAGGTAGCAGGAATGTAAGTGGAGCCACGCAGCCCTAGTTGAACCTTTAGAAGTCTAAGGGTGATCCCAGGGTAATCTATCATTAGAACCACGAAGCTAGGAAGTCCAGTTCAGAATCATGGATCACTAAGGTTTGAGGTGGTATGTTATGCAGCAATAAATAAAAGACGATATTCCCAGAATTGAGCTCTTCATTCCCCGCCCTCAGTACCCCACATTTCCCACAGTCTTCTCCATTTTCAAGTTATACTAATCTTAATACAGATGCTCAGTACAGCTTGTTATTTCAAACTTTAAAAAAAATTTCAAATCCAAATACTTTATACTAATTCTATCTCCACTACCCTCATCATTTGCTAGGGCATTTGTGGTATCTTCTTTCTTTCAAAGTTTTCTTAACACTGAGTCATCTTTAAATAAGTTCAGATTCAGGGCCTCCCTGGTGGCCTTGGGGCTGTCTCAGTGCTCCTAACACTAAGGCCTGAGTTTGATCACCCGCCAGGGGTTAACCCATGTATGGTATCAGAGCAGACCTCTCCTGTCTTGGGCGCTGCTCTTGCTAGTGTATTTCAGTCAAATGCCTGTTCTGCTCCCCACTATGTCTCTGGTGAATCCTCCCACCCCACATAGCTCAGGCCTACACCCCAGTTCTTCTATGCACAAATAACTAAGTTCACATTCATGCATTCTATTTGTGTTCATGTCTCTTGTCTCCTTCAACTTAGAATGGTTTCTTAGTATTTAATGATCATGACCTTGACATTTTAGATTGTAAGCCATTTACTGTTGAAAGTGCTTCATTTTTAAAAAAGATTTGTTTATGCATACAGAGCTGGGTATAGGCCTGAGGTACAGGGGTGGTTAGAGGATTCACCAGAGACAGAGTGGGGAGCAAAACAGGCCGACTGATGAAGTACACTGCTGAGAGGAGCAGTGGGCAGGTCAGGAGAGGTCTGCTGTGCCTCGTGGGTCACCTCAGAGGTTGGGATTGAACTCTTGCTGAAGTGGCTTTAGCTTCTTAGTGCTGTGCTTTAACCTACTGCACCACCAGGGAGAGCCCAAATATGCTTCATTTTTGAAGTTGGCTGATGTTTCCTAATTTTTGGTTCAGGTTATAAATCTTCGGCAGGAATATCTCAGAAGTGGTGTGTATCAATCAGGAAGCATGTGATTTCTATTTGTTCTGGTACAGATTTTTTTTTTAATTTTATAACAGTTTATTTTTACATCATTTTGTACTTTTTCCCATCTCAAATGATGTAATCCCCGCGGGTTTCCCATCACCAAGTCACCCGTGTGCCATCACCATAATCCCGTGCACTTCCCTCCCCACCCCCTACTCCCCCGTTTTGATCCCATTCCCCACTCCACCCCCACAAAATGTCTCTGGTATATGGCTGTTCATTATTCTTGTTACTTTCTCGCCTGGTGCATTATACTCCTGCTATGAGTGAAACCATCCGATATTTTTCTTTCTCTTTCTAAGCATGATCTTTCCCAGCTCCATCCAAGTTGCTGCAAAAGACATGTGTTTCTCTTTTTTTGGTTGCTGAGTAATATTCCATTGTATATATGTACCACATCTTTTAAACCCAGTCATCTACTTTTGGGCATTTGGGCTGCTTCCATGTTTTTCCAATTGTAAATAAAGTAGCAATAAACATGGGGGTGCATGTAGCTTCCCAGTTTCCCCAGCACCACTTGCTGAACAAATTTTCTTTGTTCCATTGTACCTTCTTTGCTCCTTTGTCAAAAATTAGGTGTCCATAAACTTGTGGGTTTATATCTGGGTTTTCTATTCAAATCCACTGGTCTGTATGTCTATTCTTATTCCAGTTCTGGTACTGGTAATTTTAACTTTAATTTTTAAGTTTAAGGTGTTATCTGCCAGACTTCTGCAAATTTACATTTTTGTTCCTTTGTAATTAATGTGTTTTGTAGGGGGGTAGTTTTAGACTTTGTAAATATCCCATATTTCAACAAATTATTTCTTCCTTTATTTATATCAGCAGTCACTTATTATTTGCTATTTAGCAAAGGAGTTTCATGAAATTAACACTTTGCATGTAAAACATTTATGATAAAGATAATTGATTACAGTAATAATAATAAAAAGCTGTGTGGATATTTGCTCTTTCAACTTGTTCATCCTTGAAGCTAATTCCTCTCCAAAATGATAATGGAATTGTTATTTTACTTCACCATAGCCCCAAATACATGTGACATTGTTCAGGTTGCGTTTTACCACTAATTTCCCATCTTCCAGCTTTCTTCTGCTGCTCTCCTTCTCATTCCATTCCAGGTTGAACAAATGTACCATTTGTAAAGTTGCTGAGAATTTTCTTTCTGCCTGAAACTCAGCAGTCATTTCTTCAAACTTCTCTCCTAGATTACAAGAAAACTGTTGTTTGCAAAGCTCTCTTAGTTTTTACCATGAAGTGATGGTCAGAAACACTGATAACACAATCTGGTTTGGTCAGAGCCATTTCAACACCTACTTCATGTATTCAGTAAAATCATTGCTGCTTATCAAATACCATCTTCTTGCTGCTGAATGGGCACTGGAGTGTGGAAGGAGCAGGGCACAGCCAGTGTGGTAGATTATTTTGATGTTGAAATTATCCCAGCTTTGGTCTGTAGAAGCCTTCATCTGGCTTCTGTGCAGTTTGGTCATCTCCCGTTCATTCTTTAAGCACTTATTTGCTTCCTGGCACAAGATATTTTAAACTAGGCCCCTTCCTTATGACTTACAGTGCAGTCCCAGTTACCTGCTCTGAAGACTGTCAAGACTCTTCCCCAAGTTACTTTTTAGCTCATATTTTGTACTTGTATTATTTTGAATTATTTCCCAATTATCTCCTCCAACTAGCATGTGTGCTAGAAAATACACTGTTTTATCTATCATTGTATCTACAACATCTAAAATAAGTATACTTAATTATTGAATTTAAGAATAGGGGGGAAAAACCCATAATCACCATCAACTTTATGCCACGTGTAAAATGCCATTGAGCATGGAATTGTGGAAAGAACATTGATCTTCAGAGAGCAACAGATTTCCATACTGAAAAATCTATGATTTTGTGCCATTTGTGCTTATTAGTCATCCATAAAAACAAGTGGCAATAAAACCTACCTTGTTGGATTATTATGATTAAAAGCAAGATCACACATGTGGAAACACCAAGCACAGTATTTGGAATCCAGTAAAGTAGTGGCTTCCAGGTATTGTTGTACATTGGATTACCTGGAAATCTTTATGAACTTTGATGTCTGGCTTCCACACCCAAACATTCTGATTTAATTGCTTCGGGTGCAGCGTGGTGGACATTGGGTCTTTAAAAGCTCTTCAAAGTGATTCTAAAAGGAACACCAATTTGGGCCACTGCAATAAAGGCCACTTTGTTTGATAATTAAATAGCATGGCAAATTCAGAGAGGATTTTAGGAGCTGCACTCAAGTTATCTAGGTATTGTCTGTGCTTAAATTCGGCTTCTTTCCCAGAAGGTTCCCATTTAACAATTACAGATTGATTTGCTTCATGGCTTGATTTTCTCTGCCTCACAACTAAACAGTGTACATATTTATCCAGTTATAACAGATCAGGCTACAGTCTGAAATTTCCTGTTTCCTATTCTGTTATCTAGGTAAAGATAGGAGCGCTAAGAATCGATTTCTACTTTAGATCACACACAAAAAATTACTTTGTAATGGTTTATAGAGCTGTGAAATTAAAATATTTCCAGAAGAAAACACAGTAAGACTGTCATCATGAGATTAGGCTACACAAAGATTTCTAAACAGGAGACAAAAATCACTAACCACAAAAAAAATTGATAAATTGGATTTAATTAAAATAAAAAGCTATGTACCAGTGAATAGTAACTTTTCACCTGCTGCTTAATAACCTAGTAACTACTTGTTCTGTATCACTTTATATTACAATTCATACATTTTAACAATGGTTGTTTTCAGTGTGTGAAGGAAAAAGTCTTAGCAGGAGTCAGAAAAAGTAAAAGAACATGTTTGTTAAAAAATCTTAATTTTATTATATAGGTAGTTAGCCCACAATCTGAAAGAAAACTCTGTAATAAATTATAAAGGTGCTCTAGTGGGTGAGACAGGAGAGGTCTGCCAGGCCATGTGGATCACCTCTGGGGTGAGGTTCGAACTCAAACTGAAGCTACTGTGGCTAGCTTGCAGTGCTGGATCCTAACCTGTTATGCCACTGGGGGAGTTTTTTTTTTTTTTTTTTAAGTAGCCACATATCAATTAAATGTATATTTAATGAAATCCAAAGTCCGTTTCTGTTTTTAAGTGATTTCTTTAATGTAATGCCACTGTTAGGATATGCTAGAGAAAACATGTTTCTCCATAATTGTATAAAATGTACTATAAGTTATCCAATCTTTAAAAGAAATTTTAAAAACAATATACATCTTAATCTCACAACTTGAAGTTATGTTTTCTATAAAAATTATTACATAAATACCAAGTATTTCAGATATTTATTTCCTATTGGTGGTTCAGGCTTCCAAAACAGTACTAAAATTGAAAAACTTTAATTACTAATAGCACATTTCCATCTCTGCTTTTCATAAGTAATAAGAACACATATGACATAGATGCTATGACATCAGTATAATAATAATTTAAATGAAAAAACATAAATTTATGAATGAGTAAAATTAGTCAAATTTTGTTATGTATCAAAAAGACAAATCTAGCTAATGGCCAACTTATCCCAAATATTATTGAAAACAGAATTATCACACATACACACAAAAACTTTTTTTCTCATTATTTCAACTGTGCTGTGGTCCTTATTAAAAGAGAATAAATACAGAGAATGTATTTTTAAAATTCTCATCAAATTACATGTAATAACTGAGGTTTTTAAGATTTTACTTTAGGAATGATAAGTGATAAAACTATGTGAAAATTTAGAAGGTACTATTGACTAGTAGGGTCAATAAGTTGAGATCTTGGGGGGCTTCAGCTCCATGGGATGCTCCTGTGACTGGAAGGAGACTCAGTGCCTGTGAGCCCGAGTGGGTGGGAAACTTCTCAGACCACTGATCACTTTCCTACCAGTGACTGGCTTCATAACTGGCTTCAAACAGCTTAGTTCTGAAAATTTACTGCTGAATGATGGGAAAACACTACAAGCCTGTGGAAACATCTAGCACAAACACACTGAGAAGAAACATTATTCTAAGCCTGAGTCTTATTCTCAAATAGAGATGTCCCTATTAAAATTAGTCTTAAAACATAAAGATTTGAAAACACAAAATATACATCAAAAGTGAACATTCAAATAGCAATACTGAAAAGTACATAACTTCAGCTGTCTAAAACTATGCTTCTTTTATTCTAAAAATTTCTATGTACAAAATGTGCTTACATTGCATTTTAAGACAAGTATGAGATGTTAATAAATCATCATAGCAATTTTTAAAAAGATTCATATTCCTTCAAATTCTTTTGATGTTATAAAAAATACCTAAAAGGAAGCAAACTGTCATTGTGGCAAAAGAGGACGTCGTGATCTTAAGGGAAGAAAGATCTCACTGGAGTTTCCACAGGTTCCTTCTTCTTCTAATTGTAGCTCTGGTGGCAAAGGAGGAGCCCCAGGGTCCCCAGGTCTAGGAAGTGTAGTTGAAGAGAAGGTGGGATTTTCAGTACTGCCTGTTTCTAGAACAGGCAAATTCAAAGAAGAATGAGTAGAAAAAAAGGGGGCTGTGCTGGATTCTCCTTCTGGGTGGTACATGACAGTGGACGCTCTCAGCTTTTCAGGGAAAGTACTCTCATCTGAATTTGATCTAGAGAAGTTGTTTGTGGCTCCATCTGGAAAAGGCTCACAGCCGCTGTATTTCTGTCCTATAAAAAAATTATTCAGATGTCACAAAATAGAACAAAAAAATCCCACCTGAGTCTATGCCCATATTTGTAACTTTTTAAAGATTACAACCATAATTTCAATAATTGATAAATTCTGTCATAATTCATTTGCTTTCCCCAATAACCATGAAGCATTCTACTATCTACATTTTCTAGATAGGGAAATAGTCTCAAGGAAGCTAAACGATGCTCTAATTCACATTTAATTTGTACACGTACATACTTAACCTTTGAAGATCAGAGAAAAAAATTAAAAAGTATGCCTTAGAAATTTTCATAAAATAAATAGCTTTCATAACTAGTAAAAATCTGAGCAGCTCATAAAAAGACACTTCTCCAAAGAGGAAGTGCAGATGTCAGAGGCTTTCTTATACACAAACGACCAAGCAGAAGAAACAGAGATAAAAAAAACCATCCCCTTTTCAATTAAAACAAAAAGAATCAAATACCTGGGAGTCAACCTAACAAAGGAGGTAAAAGACCTCT